ACTTCCAATTCATTTCAATTAGCAACTTCATTCATAATTTCCAAAAATATTACAAGTTTATAGATTTAATGAAAAACATGTTTGTCAATACCAACATTTCTAGTTTTGACTCCGCACATCAACCACCACCCACAACCTGTATACGGAGCCTCTAAGTACAACTGAAGAGTAATATGGAAATGCCGGCAACAAGACTCCGGCTATACCTCAAAGTACAAAGTACATGAGAAACAAAAGATATAGGACCCCGAGATGGGGCTCACCAAGTCAGCTGAAAAAGTATACTGCTATCACTGATCGATGTCGCCTACTTTGGAACCACCTGTATCAATTAAAGATACAGTGCCCCGGGCAAAAGGGACGTTAGTGCCATCGAATAGCACTAGTATGTAAGCTAAACACTATCTCAATAGAATGAATAGTAATACAAGGGTAATAGTCAAGAATGTAATATGAGCTTCAAATAACACTAAAACATCAAGTTAAGGATCACATAGATTTTTAAGTCAATTTCCACGTTATTTGGTTGGGTGATCTTTAGTGCCGATGTGCCACAATCCACAATACCACCTTGTTTTCACACAGAGTCCGATCTCGACCCGATCGGCTAGGTCATCTCATTTGCGACATCAACCATATCCACAATTCTAATTACCATTTCCAGCACAGCTACCACTATGTGTACAACACAGCATCCGATCACGGCCCGATCGGCTAGGCCATCTCATAAGAGACATCAACCATATCCACAATTTCAATTACTATTTCCAATACAGTTACCACCATGTGTATGGCATGGCGTCCAATCACGACCCGATCGGCTAGGCCATCTCATAAGAGACATCAACCACAGCTGCAATTCCAATTACAATTTCCAATAGAGTTATCACCATTGTACGACATGGCGTCCGATCACGACCCGATCGGCTAGGCCATTTCTTTTGAGACATCATCCTTTCAATCAATCATCTCACTTCATGTCTCTTTACCATATTTTCAATACATTGGCACGAGTGGCCTCATTTATAAAGTCATTCTTGGCACTAGGCTGAATTTCACAATTCCCATTTCCCTTTTTACATTCAACTTATTATCATCATCATCAACACTAAGGCCTATCATTTCGGGCATTAGTACACATATGAGCAACTTGGGAATCCTAAGCACATAGAGGGTTTTCATACACATTGGCATAACCACCTTAATTCATCTTGACATGAAGTCTTGACAGTTCTTAACACGCATTCCACATTCTGAATACATCTTCAAAGGGCAAAATGACATGATAAAGCATTAGAATAAATATTGAACGGGTGTTCTTCAACACAAACACATTCGGAATAGCCCATTCTATGATGATCAATTTGAGACTTACACCAATTACATGACACCAGGAGATTCGGTTCTAAGAAGAAGGGGGTTTAGCCAACATACCTCAAATTCATTTATAATGGAAACTTTAAACACAAAAGGTTTCTTCCCAAGGAATGGGTCATACCAACAATCAATAGAAACTCACATCAAAATCATAGATAAATAATACACCATTTAGTCTTGCAATACTCTTTCCCAGAAATGACAATGTACAATTTAAACACATGAGTACGTGGGATCTCGAATCACACCGGATATATTTATAAAGCAAAGCATTAGTTGTAAATAGCCACTTATGGGCATGAATTGAGTACAAAAACTTTAGGCAATTCTATCTTCAAAATTATTATTTTTAAATAGTTGAGTAGAGGCTCATTTCGTATTTTTCATCACCTTCCCTCATCTCATTGATACTACTAGCCACGATCATAACTTAAATACGTGGCACGTTGGCCCACCCTATATCCCCAATTCACTTATTTCATTTTCGAACATCTTTATAGATTATCATCCAAGACATTTTCAATCAAGATTTTAGGTACACATAGGAGCAATTATGAGTCTTAAACATATCGAGTTTTTCTCACCCAATTGGTATACTAGTTTTCATCTAAAATACAGTTCAGATCCATACCATTTTAATAAGCAAACCATACTTTGAACTTACGGAAAATATTATGCAATTCAATTCTGAGAGAGAAAGTTTAGCCAACATACCTTGTTTAAGCTTTTCTTAAGTTACTACAACGTTCCGGAAATTCTAGCTATCCCAATCTCTTAGATGAAGATCTTGTGATTGGTTTCATTGATTCTTGAAGATTAATGCAAGATTGAATGGTTAAAATATTAGGCTTCCTCCTTATCTCTCTAAAATTCTCTTACCACTCTCTAAAACCCTCAAAAAATCGTCCCAAAATAAGCCCCAAAGCCTATTATCAAAATGGGGTCGGGTTATGAAAATAGGAAAATGAAGCCTCCGAAATTGGGTCTGCGGTCGCAGAGTGGACTGCAAAACGGGTATGGGGGTCGCGAAATGGATCGCAAAACTGGTGTCTAGAAGTGGTCTACACTGGGCAGGTCTGCGACCATTTTGCGATTCGCAGACCAGTTTTGCGATTTATAGAATCATTCTGCGGTCGCACAATTGGCCGCAGAATCGCATTTTTCCAGCTTTTGGTAATTTGGTCATAATATTTTGTAGGAGTGTCCAAATGATGAACGGTTTGAAGCGTTAGAAACTAGACTCAATGATCTTTCATTTGATAGGTTGTTCATCACATAAAACCTTATATGTATGTAGATATGCTCGTCCAAAGTTTGGTATTGTGCATATTCATTTGAAATTTTAGCCTATCATGTAATTTTTCAACTTGACTTAGACTTAGTCCTCTCCTTAGACCCCAATCACTTATAATATGACTTATACATTTATTACCATATCTAATTGATATTCATCATATTAATAATCCTTATTTGCACACAAAATAAAATAATTAGCCTACCTTGGAACCACGAAATCTTAAATTACTTAGCGAAATTTTTTCGGGGCCTTACATTACATGTGGACTAAGTCGACATTAGGAAGCCTTTGGAGGTTGCCACGTGTCGTCAAAAAGATACAATGACCTGGCCTCAAAGGGTCGACGTCACGAGAAGACAACGCGTCGTCGACGAGATCAAAATGAATCAACAGAGGATTACTATTCCCTAGAGAATATTCGAGTGAATATTCTTTGCAGTTGTACTATCTAGGATTTTGTGGCCCTTGTACCCTTTTAAATAGAAAGATATGTAGTTATGGGACGGGGGTGGGGGGAGGGGGATTAGACATTCATTATAAAGAACAACTTGTTGATATTCTCTCAAGATTTGTTGATATTCTCTCAAGATTGTCTCTTTATCACATACGTACAAAATTCATCTTTTTAGATCTTTATCTATCTTTTCTTCCCCGATCCAAGAAGGATCAAAATATTGAAAGGTGTGTCATTGTCTATCATTGTCAAAGGAATTATTGGGGAATCTCACCTTTGTCGGGTGACCTCTATTCACTTATTTACTTGAATGTCATTTATTGTTATTTTTTGCTCTCTTTCATGTTTTTGAGTCATTTATTACTCCATTATTGTTATTAGGAAAAAGGGTTAAAAATGCCCCTAAACTATTGAAAAATATTTAAAATTACCCTTCATCCACCTATTAGGCTAAAACTACGCCTCCATCCACCTTTTTGGTTCACTTATGCCCTTTGACCGTCAAGTCAATGCTGAATTAAAAATATAATTATATAAATTCCACGTGGCAACTTCTTATTGGTGCAAAATTAAAACATCTAATCTATTGGAAAAATCCACCCATATCTACCCATTGTTCGGGCTATCCCGCCCCAAACACTAACTTGACCCGAATAAAAAGTTCAACTAAAAAAAAGACGCTCCACTTCCTAACCACAATTTCTTCACGGAGAATTCTCTCTTCTCCCGAACGGAGGTACTAATTCTATCTATGGAAGTATAGTTTGATATTTCTAGTAATTTTGTTTTAGTTCGGTGGTTAGAAATGATCGTTTTCTTCCTGATAGTCAATACTAATGGCGAATTTCCGAACAGCGAGTTGAAAAAAAATTCTTAGTAACAGAGAAAGTTTGATGACTTGACTTTTTTATTGAACTGCAATGAAACGCGTTCGAATGATTTGTTTTTCTTTGGTAAAATTCATTAGAAATTTCCGAAAATATTTTGAGTGCTAGGTTACAGGATACGTCACCATATCCCTGTAGTATAACGTTTCGCCGTTAGCGAATTTTTCGTAATTGTTGCTAAGCCATGCCTTTGTGTTCTAATTGGCCTTTAACATGTACTTAATGTTAGCCGAGGTGTGTAAGCTAGCCCGGACACCATGGTTATAAAAAAAGTACTTGATGCCCGGACATCACTGAGTTAGATGGAAGTTGGGCGTCTTTTTTTTAGTTAAACATTTTATTCGATCGGGTTAGTGTTTGGGATGGGTTAGTCCGAAAAACGGGCAGATATGGGTGGGTCTTTCTAAAAGCTTAGATGTTTTAATTTCGACCAATAAGAAGCTGCCACGTGGAATTTAAATAATTATTATTTTTAATTCAGCATTTACCTAACGGTCAAAGGTCATAAGTGAACCGAAAAGGTGGATGGAGGGGTATTTTTAGCCTATTAAGTGGATGAATGATATTTTTATACTTTTTCCAATAGTTTAGGGGAATTTTTAACCCTTTTTCATTGCTATCCAACAGGACACGTGAGACATCTCCCTTAAATACACTTGGTTCATCATTTGATAATTAATTGGGTCATACAGTAGCAGATACCTAATGGAATTAATCGAAATGTATACAAGTTGACCCAGACACACGAGCGTGAACAAAAATAAAGAATGAGATGCAACTGCAGGTAATTCAAATAGAGAAGGTAAATTGCAAACATAGTTATACTGCAACCCTCAGGCCTGTGACTTGCCCATACCAAAAACTTTTGCGTCATCTGTGGGTGGTCGACGCCAAATTGGGTCCTAGAGTAAAAATGTCACAGCAAAAGGGCAAAATTTTACGAAGACAAAACAGCCTTTCTTTCAGTGCCAAAAATTGATAGGAAAATGTGCGAGAAAGAGGCACCTCAACTTTCTCTGGGTTTTATCAGGTGATAGGTCGTCGTACTTGGCCACCACACTCCCACTGCTCATCGCACTCTTTTCCTCTTTTTAATCCTTTTTCCCCCCACCACAACTCCACATCACAAGATTCCACTTTCCTTCCTTTCCCTACCTTCTTTATTTCTCACTTTGCAATGTCCCAGTCCAATGGAAAATAACTTCAAAATGCAGTGCGAATTCAGATTAGTGGGACTTCAAAGTGGAAAAGTAAGTACGGAACACCTAATGAAAAATGCAAAAAAAATCTAATTTTGTATGTTAAGTGTTTGTACAAGTAAGTATATTATACACACACTCCCTCTCTCTGTCTTTTAAATTGCATATTTGTTCTTTTTTCTGTTCCATATAAAATATCAATCGTGGTTATAATTAATCAAGAAAAATAACTAATCTGATATTTAGAGATTCAAAAGCAAAAAATGAAAAGGAAAATCCAAATTTTGGTAATGGCGGCCCTTAGCTGTTCCTATTTTTCATGGAAAGGCATCAATCTATTGCGAGTAATTTGGGACTTGCAAGTAGTATACACATAAAAATAACTTTTTAAAAAAAATGTACGTACATATATATATATAGATGGCCCAGTCACATGCCTTCTTCAGATTTTGCGGCAGATGATCATCTTATTATTCGATTCAATTCATCACCTAATTGTATCAAAAAACATCACTTACGAAAAATATTTTACTTCACACCAAACATGACCTCAAATTCAGTAATTTTCCTTTCGAAAGTTATGTTGAATTCAAGAGAGTAACTTATATATATTTCTCTCATTAAAAGAATGACAGTAATAACGTTGTTAAATCTACCAATCTTGAAGATTGAATCATATTGACTTTGTGGAGTACATAGCTCTAGCCTGTTTAAACTGAGAGACTTTACATCTTAAATAATAGACATTGCATATAGTTAGTACGTAGCGCTTTAAAAAAAATAGTAAAAAAGTTGGACTTGTTATGTAGATACCTAAAGCGCAAGTCATAGGAAAAATACAAGGGCATCACATTGCAAGTAAGGAGAATATTTGTGCTGATAATAAATTTTATAATAACATTTCACGTTATGTGTTGTTAATTCTTAACAAAAATAATTTATAAACTTCGCTGGCTTCCAGTCTTGCCATCTTGCCACCCCATGTTAATGTTCCCCTCTTAGCACCTTCCATGTTCCCACTTCAAAACCTCTCCTCCCCATTACACCTCTTGACTTATTAATTAACACCTCAAAAAAAGAAGATATATATGACTTTAATTGGTTTACTTTGTGCATAAGATAACATGCTTTTTAGTAGTACAGGTACCATGGCATTTGCACCAGAAACTATTTCTGTTGATTTTCGAAACCATGAAGCAGCTAATGATGATCTCCCTTCCTCCTTCCCTAGTCATGTCTTTCCCTCTTCTTGTCCTCCTCATCAAGAATTTCAAGGTTCTCTCTCTCTCTCAGTCTATCTCTATGTATTTTTTTGATGAATCCAAGATTTTGCTAGAGAGTTAGTGAATTCTGCTCTTTATAATCTTTTCCACACACATTACATATATAGTGCGAGCTAAATGCAGTAAATTCCACTGTGCTAAGGTGAATTTAGAATTTATATTTGATATGTTCAATTTTTACTTTTTAGCACTAATTAAACCAAATACATTTTCTAAATTATGAGTTTTATATTCATTTTAATTTTACTGACTTTTCACATACATATCTATATGCTTCGTATAAAAAATGACACGTTCATTTCATATTGCATCACGGTGTCTAGTCTAGATCTACCACTATGTGAGCTAGCTAGCATATATATAATAGTAGGAATATGACAAATTTATATGCAGGAATTTCACCGTTGTTAATGAGGAGAGCCATGTCATTTGATCATAATCAAGAATCGAGAGTGGAGGACGACATGTCTGATGATGATGGCTCTTCACACTTACTTGGGGAGAAGAAGAGGAGGCTGAATTTGGAGCAAGTGAAGGCACTTGAGAGAAGTTTTGAGATGGGGAATAAACTTGAGCCTGAGAGGAAAATGCAACTGGCTAGAGCTCTAGGGTTGAAACCAAGGCAGATTGCTATTTGGTTCCAGAACAGAAGAGCTAGGTGTAAAACTAAGCAATTGGAGAAAGATTACGAAATCTTGAAGAGACAATGTGATAAACTTAAGGCTGATAATGATGCACTCAAGACGCAAAACAAAAAACTTCACTCTGAGGTACGTAACACAATTGAACTTGACTTTTATATTCAAACTGGAATTTGACTTAAACGTCTTTGGATCCTGCTTAGGGCAGGCTATTTGGGAAACTCACTCCATATTGCATTTTTAGATATTTTTTAGCTGAAATTAGTTTAGGTTTAATTAATTTGATTTCTAGTATTTGATCATTGGCGTTATAGAAATTAAACCACCATCACTCACAAACGCTGGCGGACGGGTTTGTAGTTTGGTAGAACCAGTATTTAAGTATGGTTAGAATTAGATATACATCTTCTCACTCTCTCACCTAAAAATCCCCAATATTAAAATTTTGGATCCAGTCAATTGCACCCACAAATGGTTTTCATGTAATTCATATTGTTCCAAAGCAAGAAATCAATTTCTTAGAAAATCAAGAACGTACGTTTATTGTGTTTCTTTCAAATCTGCCCTTGTTTTAATAAATGATGCTGTAAAATTTTATGGAAGTCTCTTAATAATTATTTCTCATTTTGTTTCAAAGGACTATTTAGTCAAATGAGTAATTCTTAATTAAATGATTGTTTAATGAGTTTGACAAAACCATAAACGATAACTGAAAAAGACCGAAGGAAGTATGTACATGTTTTTTTTTGGGTCCCTTGTAACTACTCACACACAATTCCCAAGGTTTTAATTGTTTATGTTTCGCATTGATGATTCTGGTGGGCAGCTGCAGTTATTGAGTCTGGGAAACCGAGAATCAGCTGGAGGTACAGCACCAATATTGTTTAATCTGAACAAGGAAAACGAAGGATGTAATTGGAACAACAATGGAAGTGGCGATGAGAACAACAGTACTATAGACGTTAATCTTGGAACCACAACAAGAACATCATCAACAAACAGTCCACTCAATAACCATGATGTTTTTCCAACAGCTTATAAAGTAGACCAAACTGTCAATGAAGAAGGATTTTGCAACATGTTTACCAATGTGGAAGATCAGACCAATTTTTGGCCATTGCCAGTGCAGCAACACTTTTACTAATTTTAATTTCTTTCAAGTTAAACCATTTTTTTGGGTCTTATGCCGACAGTTAAATTTACTGTGTGTATAGTAAAATGCACATATGTTATTGTACCAGGATTGTTATTAAAGACTTGAAAGTGACGATGTAAGAAATTGGTAATTTATATTAGTAATATTTGATTTTTTATTCTTGTGAGAGACAGAGGTGTTGTTTTTGCAAGGTTGGACAACTTGGGAGGACAGATTAAAATAATAAAAAAGATTCATGTTCTGAGCATATCAGGAGAGACTGTGGAGTGTGGTGCAGGGTCACCTTTTCTGGCTATGGGCCATAACCTATACAATGCGAAAAGAGAAGGGCAAAAAAAGGAAGATTCTCTCCTTGCACTAGTTTTTGTTGTTGCTTCAGATATGGAGCCTTCTTGTTACTTTCTTTTCTTTAAATGTTTTGTTGGTTAATACCTGAATATTATTATACTTCCTTCTTCCCATATTTTGTCATCTCATTTTATATGACTGTGTTTCATTGAATGAAATGTAAGAAATTTATTTAAAAAAATTGACACATAAGATAAAAATATCAAAGTGATCCTTACTACCAACAATTAAGAAGTGTGGGAGTTTTGTATGTCCTTTATATTCTGCCTCCACATAATAAGGTGACTTTTAGATCAAAAGGTCCTAACAAGTCATGTTATTTCTTGTAAAGGAAGATGATACTCATACGAATAAATAGTTTCTAAATATAGAAATGTGACAATCTTTCTGTGACATACTAAAAATGAAAGTGTCACATAAAATAGAATGGAAGAGATATCATTTTTGCGAGAAATATATATCATTTACTTGTTGTCTAGTAAAAAGAAATGGTATGAACATCATTGTAGAGAAGCTTCTTTTGACTGTGCAGTACTACTAATAAAGTTGCAGATTCTGATGATTTAAGGATGATTTACAGATTGCTTTGCTGCTAAAACAATAATATATCAGTAATGAGAAGAATTATTAGTATGATTTTTAACGAGTGTCAATGATCAGAGTCAGGCTAGGAATCCAACCACAAAATTACGAGAGGGGAAAGGCCAAAGAGATAGGGATAAAGAAGAAAACAGAACAATGTTGTTTACTGGGGTGGGGAATGAGTCATTTTTCTATATTAATTACTCTTTCTGCCTACTGTTGTGACCTGTATGTCAGTCTCTGTTTAAAGAAAAGAAATCTTGCGACTCCTTTTCTGAGATGCTGAAATTCAAGTATGGCAAAAGGACAAACAAAAGAAACCAAAAGGAAACGAAATGAGAAAACACAACAATGTGTTCCATCAAAACATGAGGGGAGGGTCTGTTACGTCATATGATTATAACTTTACATGCAAAAAAGGAGGAACTTGTATATTGCACACAAGCGCGTAATCACAATTTATATATATACTCTTATGAAGATTATATAATGAATTAGGCAGTCAGGATAGTCTGTCACATGTCAAGCTAAATCACGCGTATAATTTGATGGTCGCCATAAAAGGAAATGAAAAAGGAGAAAGTATGTGCAAAAACTTCGCTCAATTTATTAGGAAGAAAGAGAAAATTTTAGCATATATCCTTTGATTAGAACATTTGTTTTCAAACAAGAAAAATCAATTCTTGTGCTCGTAGATAAGATACAAATATATAGAACCAACTTAGGCCACATTAAAATATTAATAGCTGCGATTCTAACCTGGAGATCTTCAGGTTACTATACCATTGTCTCAACCACTCAGCATCTCCTGAGCACAAACTACGAACTGGTTCTTGCAACATTTACAATTTTATAAAGATCAAGCATCTCCCGGGATGTCGATTGCCATGAATGGACCTCCATGAAGTTTATCATAATAAGTGTCAGCACGGGATCCATGAAAATGTGCATGTAAAGCTTAAAGCTCAGACAGGCAGAGAAATATTCTCCAATCAGAATGATGTAAATTTAGAGGGATCGATCACTGATTTGTAATTTCCTCAATAAGTCTGTTGAAGGACCACTTCTACCTAGAATCTACTTGGTTCAAGTCACCACGACAGACGCATAAGCAGTCGCAAGTGATGTACCTTCAGAGGGACTTCAATTGATAACAAAACCGCTACACGATATTTTTCCTTTTACTCGTTGAGGTTTCCTTATAATGTATGGAATAAGAGCTTCCTTCAATTTCACATAATTGGATATAATAGATAATATGTACAGAGTCTCATAGTCGAGCAGCAAAAGATGAAGATAAAGAAAATCAGAGCTCCTAACAGCAATAAAAGGACATTATCGCCCTACATTATTATAAATGTAGAAAAACACTTAAAACATCTCACTTTGATGCAAACAAGTGACGAGGAGAACACTATGTAACAGATTCAGCAACAGAGACAGTCTGTTGTCCAGCTTTGCTCAACTATTTCACGCACCTGCCTCCTGTTGTATTCGCACTTGTTCTCGCTAAACAGCTGTGCTGCTTCTGCATTCGCTGCTGAGTTAGTGCTTGGATCACAGAGCAACGACTGCAGTAGGAAAAAACTCATATCAGGGAGCTACTTACCAGCAATCCAGCATAGATGTTAATGGTTATACTTATACAGATCATTTTCTTTAGCTCAGGAAGATGCTGAAAAATGCTAACTAACTTTTGACCCAGTTACGATTATAAAAATTGACTTGATTTTTTTTTTTTTAATTAAGACAAAAAGTTTCATTAGTAAACACCAAGTGGTGTAAAAAATGACTTGATTCATATGTCCATCATCAGAGATTTATCTACCTACTTTTGGAAAATAACATTTAGAAATTTATCAAAATACACGAGACAACACTAACCACCAACTTTTGAATTAAAAATGACAAAAATAACTAAAATACCAGTGCCAATAAAAGCTGCTGACTCACTAAATAGTACTCCCTCCGTTTCATATTAAATGAGGTACTTTCCTTTTTAGTCTATTCCAAAATAAATGACACATTTCTAAATTTGGAAATAATTCAACTTTAAACTCCTTATTTTACCCATTTTACCCTTAATGAGAAGATTTTATAACCACACAAAAGTCATGGCCTTACAAAGCTTTACCCCTCAAGCTTTTAAGACCACAAATTTCAAAAATCTTTCTTTTTTTTCCTTAAACTCCGTGCCGAGTCAAACTACCTCATTTAATTTGAAACAGAAGGAGTACTAGGTAAGTGCAACTAGCGAGAGCATTTTTTACATGGGAATTAAACATATGTAAAAATTTGCTTGAAACAATAAAGTTAGAGAAATGAAGAAAGACTTGCTTTTGTGGATTAAATTATCAAAACTAAACACGGATATTCAAAATTGTAAATCTTAACCTACGAGTAATCTCAAGAGAGAACTGAAAACTTGTGAATCAGCATTGAGAATAGTGTCACTCTGAGACACATCCATGTTATCTTCAGGCTACAAACTTGTGCATGATGCTTCTTTTCTTCCTCTATTCATATGTTCAACCAAACTACTGATCGATTATCCTCAACAGTGATGGACTACTAGTTCAATATCTAAAGTAAGAAACTGGAATTCACAGCTATAAAGCAGAACAGGTCATAGGTTGTCCATACTATGTGGGGGAAATGCATCAACGCATTCCCACCCCACCCCACCCCCACCCCACCCCACCCCACCCCACCAAAAAAAATAATAATCATTTTAATTCCTCAAAATTGTTTATGGAAACGAGGCATGGTGTTGCATTTAGAACATCTCATAATACCTGTATTGAGATAAGTATAGCAGCTACATCATATATAGGTCTCCACTCATTTTGCAAGATGTCCAAAGAAATACTTCCATCAGCATAAACTGAGCAATAATAAGCAAAAGCATAAGAGATCAGAAAAACTATACTAAACATGACAATATGAAAAAGCATAAGATAAGCTAATATGCAATGAAAAAAGAAGCAGAAGTAGGACGCAAGAGGAATTAAATGTCTACATTTCAAACAAAGTGATTTTACTCCTCTTTTAACAAAAAGGTTAGACATGAACATATTGGATACAGGTACAAGTAGCACACAGAGGATATCAGGATAAAATAAAAGAAGATCATTTGAAATGGTTTTGTCAAGTTCTATCTAGACCTCCAAATGCACCAGCGCGTAGGTGAAAAACCATGGTGGTTGGAAGTGTTAAAGGGAGACAAGGTAGACCTAAAATCACGTGAAGGAAAGTGGTTTTGACAGGCTAACAATCTATTCAAATTCATGCAAACTTGGCAAAAAGTAAAGTACAATGGAAGAAACAGATCTATATAAGCAATACGAACTAGTTATGATTAAGGCTTAGTTTTATTGGTATGCTCGCTCAGTTCAATATCCGTTAGGGGCTTTTTTAATCTTGTTGGAGGATTGCATATCAATAGAAAATGTAGAGAGAACTTCTAGGATTTGAGAACCTAATTTATTAAACATCGGAATGAGCTGGGTCAAATGACGTAAAATAGATAGTGATGATTCATATAGCCACTAGCCAGCCCCAACTAATTTGGCATTTATGATTAGTTGTGATTGTTTTTGCAAAAGACTTGAATATGTTACGATATAAAACCAAACTTACCTTGCCCTCCTTGCATAACAATACACGCATACAAACACCCACATATATGTGAACGCAAAAGAGAAAATGCAACCAGACTTATTGTTCCACAATTTATAGTATAATGAACGTTCTTATCCTCTCAAAGGATTACAACTCTGCTAAGAGATAAAGAGGAGAAGAAAAGGAGGGGTGAGATATACTTCAGCTACTTACTATTTGGATGGAACATCCTGGACATAAAGTACACTTTTGGTGGCCTGTTAGGATAATCCTCTGTAAATTGAAGTGTCAGCTTAATATCACCAAACAATCAAAGTTAGGGAAGAAGGATATTATTATGCACCCACTACCAATTCTAGAAAACCTTCTTCACTGGGAGGATAAAACAAGAAAATCCCAGCATTGAAGGCACAAAGCAAATTGCCTACAAAGACTCCTGAATTACAATTCTGCAACTCAAACTGGACCATATCGACACAAGAAATCTTCACTGATGCAGCTAACTTTCTGATATAAAATATATAGGGGCACCTTATTTGTTCATACAATTGCCAAGGCATAAATAAGTCTCATGAGGCATAGGTATGATGGAGCGCTATTAAACACGAATGTTTAATTCGCATCACAAACAAAAGGTGGTCATGAGCAACGTAACATTGCCTCACCTCCTTCCCAGGGAGTGTCTTCAGGGCTGCATTTCAAGGAAAGAAAAGCTATAAGTACAAATATACTGTTGTTTGGGCAGGAGCAATCATTTTAAAATTCCAAATAGTTATGGTACACCGTGATTTTCATTCAATTCCAAATGTCATACCCGAATATGACGGCATTCCATAGCATTATATTGATGTCATAAGGTGCACCACTGATGCCTTCAGGAGGATCGTGCAGTAACCGCTTGAAATCCCTCATTAATCTTTTCCTCGCTGGTGTTGACATCATCACTGCCTAATTAAGAAATCACAACTCAAGTAAACACAAAACTCAATAAAGAACCTCATTTTCCATGATTACTAAGGCAGCTAAAACATATCGAACTTTAGACCAAAGCCATGGAGGCAGTACATACTAGGCTTCTGTCTGAGACAAGGTTCAAATCTGTGACATGCGCCTAACGCACACAACACATGCTCGCTCTTACTACTTAACCAAAGCCCTGGAGGCAGTATTATGTAAAGTTATTGTGTGTATAGTAAGAGTAAAAGCAACAGGAGCACCCCGCACGAGCTGCCGATCTGCCACGAAGCTATATAGGCCAATATATGAGGCAATCGAGTGCTGCAAAATTAAGCCAAAGCGAAACAGAGCATTGCAACAATAATAACAACTACACCTCAATCCCAGGCAATAACTAAGAGTGTTGCATAAAGAAAAAATTGTCAATTCACTAGGGTTGATGTGAAAACGAACAGCCCAGAAACCAATCACGTGAATTGATGCAGAAAAGCATAGGTAAGGGGGAGATCCATTTACCTGAGAGCAAAAGCGGCAATATAATTTTGGAAGATAGTGGACGGCGTTTGAATTTGAGCTTGGAGAATCGGCCGCCCTGATTAGTGTCCCCTTTGCAATCGCCAACTTATAAAGAGTGAAAATTTGAGTTTGATTTGCGTGACATATATATGGACGGCTCCATATCAGATCTTACATGGCATGCATTACACGTAATAGCCACTCTTGTAGTCTTGTTACAAATCGCGTAAATATCAAGACTTTTGTTTGCCATAGAGTTAAATTTGTGACGTACCTCAAATCCACATCATAAAAATTCGGTATATTTGTATGGAATTTTTACATTCCTATACCACGTAGGAAATATTTTTACCCTACATGTTTAAGATTTGAGTAAATTATACTTAGTATACCAAATTACCAATCTTATACCATACTTAATTAAGGGTCTAATTAATGGGCTGTTTTTACTCCTTAATTAAAGGTATCCATATCTAATTAATGGGCAGTTTTTACTCATTAATTAAAGGTATCCATATATCTCACGTTTCTCTCCTTACCCCTCACCCCCGCACCCATGTTTCTACCCATACCCCACATTCTTTCTTGTTCTTCATCCACGATTGCAAGATCAATCAACGAAAGATGTCCTTGAGATGCATTAGCCAGCGAAATCTCATTATATTTGAATGTCGTGCCAATTTCCTCTGCAACAATTGTGGCATGTGATCTGATTTTCTGAAAGTCTACATGAAATCAAAAGTTGCAACAAACATTTTAATACGCCACGAACTAGCAAAACAATGAAAACAGATACACTTTAGTAGTTTTTTTTTTTTGGTACCAAACAAAATTCCCTCTTCTGGAAAAGTCAAAAATGAGAAATTTATTGGTAAAGAGACTAATATGAAAAGTTGCCGACAACTTCTCCAAACGACTTAGAAATACTGACTGTTGAAGCCCTCACCTAGATTTACTGTTTGTCGTGTATTTGTAGTGTAATTGCAGTGTAATTGTAGTGTAATTGTAGTGTAATTGTAGATTTAGTGTAATGGATATGATCTGTTGAAGCCCTCACCTAGATTTACTGTTTGTAGTGAAATTGTAGTTAGTTTGTAGTTTATGTAGAACATTCCAAGATTAATTATAGTCTAAAATGTAGATATAACGTAGACATGATTGTGGATGATGTGTTTCCTGTTTGCCCTGTAACTGTAGGTAAATTGTAGTTATTCTTATATTAGGTACTTAAACTGTAGGTAATTTGTACATTCACTGTAGGTAAACTGTAGGTAAATTTGTTTGAATTGTAGAACTGGTTTTATACATAATTGTAGAGTTTTTGTAGTTAATAGTAGTTATAATGTAGGATTCATGTACCGCTTCACACCATCTATCACAGTATGGATATGATCTGCTGAAGCCCTCACCTAGAATTACATAACAAACAGCAATAAAAATATTTACAATCATAAAATAGTTTATCTACAATTTATCTACAACGTATCTACAATTATATCTACAAATTATCTACAATCTACAAATTAACTACAATTTGTCTACAAATTATATACAATCTATTATTTGATTTCACGATGTATTTGATTTCTACAATTTTTTCTGTAGTATCAATTGATACTTGTTCTGCAATTGTAGAAATCAGGATACTGTAGCTTGCATTCTCATCTACCACAATGGCATCAACTTCAAAATCTCTAAATTTGCCATATATCCCAATCCCNAATGGCATCAACTTCAAAATCTCTAAATCTGCCATAATTATCCCAATCCCCATTAAATTGTAGCATGATTGCGATTTTGGACATGATTTGTTGTTGATGTTGATGTTTTTTTTGGATTTCTAGATTGAAAGAAGAAAAGATGAAGAAGAGATATATCTGATCGATAATTTGACAGAAGCAACGACGAAGAACAGATTTTTCCAACTTTGAGTTGTTGAAACTCAAATATTTTGAATTCTACAATTTGAATTCAGCTCGTCGAAACTCTTAGTAGTTGAATCTGTTCTTATTTTTAGGAGCTGTTCGTTCTTTTTTTTTTCTTCAGAATTTGAATTGTAGTTCTGGAGAAAAAAACGCAGATGAGAAATCTCCTTTCCCTTTTTAAAAATTGAATTTAATGTAGAATCAATTATCACCAAGATTCTCTCCTTAATTTTAGCGCATTTTTTAGGGAATATTCTGCTCCTTTAATGCCTAATAGTCGAATGGTACAAATTTTGTAGGTAAAATATGGACTGGGCGGGTAATATATAAAATATGCACATTTTTGGTAATAAACTTTCATATATGGTATAAGAAGGAAAAAATCCCTATTTGTATATGTGTGTTTTATCTTAGTTTTGTTATACATTACGATGTATCAAAAGAAATTCCAAACTTGCACCGAAATCCTTGTTACACATCTTTTTCTCACGGGAAACTTCTTATATACTCAACCTTTAAAAAGTGTGTCTAAAACACACATCTTCGGTACTTGACATATTCAACCTTTTAAAAGTGTGTCTAAAACACACCTCTTCAGTACTTGACCACTTTTTTCTCATCAAGTGTATTCATGCACTGTAATAAACAAGGTATGGAAGAATCAAATTAGTATATTATTCCATGTAGTGAAATATATATATATATATATATATATATATATATATATATATATATATATATATATATATATATATATATATATCATGTGCTAACTAAGAAAAAAATAAAAGAGATTCTTACAAATCTGCTATCTATATATGGGTTATGTACACTACTAAGAAACAGTCAAAGTTCATTGTGTAAAGTGTCTAGGTTCATTCTGTAACCCTCCCCCTCAAGCTGGAGCATATATATTGATCATGCCCAGCTTGTTACAAAGGTAATCAACTCGAGTGTCATTCAATTCTTTAGTGAACAAATCAGCTAGTTGCTCACCCGTCTTCACATAGCCAGTGGAATCAAGTTCTCCTGAATCTTCTCACGAATAAAATAATAGTCAACTTCAATATGTTTGGTTCTTTCATGATACACTGGATTTGAGGAAATATGGAGTGCAGCTTGATTATCACACCAGAGTTTTGATGGAGTAGGATGCTTTAATCCAATTTCAATTAAAAGATGATGTATCCACATTATCTCGCATGTTGATTGTGCCATAGCTCTATACTCGGATTCTGCACTGGACCTAGATACAACATTTTGTTTCTTATTTCTCCATGATACCAAGTTTCCACCAACAAATACACAATAACTAGTAGTAGATCTTCTATCAATCTTGGATCCAGCCCAATCTACATCTGCAAAAACAATCAATGCGAGAATGACTGTGATTGCTGTATAATATGCCAAGTCTAGGAGCTCCTTTTAAGTAACATATGATCTGCTCCAAATCCTCCCAATGTTTAACTGTGGGCGCGGACATGAACTGGTTAACCATACTCACTGCAAAAGTAATATCTGGACGAGTCACAGTGAGATAGTTTAATTTTCCAACTAACCTCCTGTATCTATCTGGATCATTAAATGGATCGACATCATCTTTCATAAGATGCAAATTAGGAACCATTAGAGTACTGCAAGGCTTGGCAGCCAGCTTACCAGTTTCTGCTAGTAAGTCAAGAATATACTTTCTCTGAGATAGAAAAATTTCCTTCTTGCTTCTAGTTATTTCTACTCCTAAGAAATATCTCTGTTGTCCCAAGTCTTTTGTATGAAACTTAGTATGCAAGAAAGACTTGAGAGAAGATATTCTTGCATAATCACTCCCTGTGATAATGATGTCATCCACATATACAACAAGGAGAATAGATTCAGCAATTGATTGCTTATAGAAGACAGAATGATCTTATTTGCTCTTTTTCAGCCCAAATTCTTGAACTGCTTCACTAAATTTACCAAACTAAGCCCAAGGACTCTGCTTCAAGCCATATAAGGATTTCTTCAAATTACAGACCTTGCCATACTCCCCATGAGTAACAAAACTAGGTGGTTGCTCCATATATACCTCTTCATGGAGATCACCATGAAGAAAAGCATTATTAATATCCAATTGATGCAAAGGCCAATTCTCAGAAGCAGCTAGAGAAATGAACAAGCGGACAGAAGTAAGTTTGGCAACCAGAGAGAAGGTGTTTGAATAATCTACCCCATAAGTCTGAGCATACCCCTTATCCACAAGTCTGGCCTTAAGTCTCACCACAGAGCCATCAGGATTAACTTTGATCGTGAAGACCCACTTGTATCCCACTGCTTTTTTTCCACCGGGTAAATCCACTAAATCCCAAGTGTGATTTTTCTCTAAGGCATGTATTTCCTCAAGCATTGCTTCAGACCATCTAGGATGATTCAAAGCCTCTTTCACCATTTTGGGTATAGAAATAGAGTCTAGAGACACATTCAAAGATCTAGATGCAGGAGACAAGTGGTCGTAGGAAACAAAATTAGCAATAGAATATGTGGATTTGCAAGTACGTATACCTTTGCGAAGAGCAATTGGAAGGTCAAGGTTTTCTGGAGGGTCGGGTGGAGGCAAATCTGATGATGAAGGAACTGATGACGAAGGAACTGGTACAGAACACGTATCATTTGTCTGTTGCCTCCGCGAGTAAACTTGAACAATTGGCGGTCTTGCTAACACAGTTGGAGCAGGTGCTGAAGGCAGATTAGTAAATTGGTGCTCGATAGAACTAGGAGATGGAGGAACATCATCTTGTTGTTCTGTCAAAGTACAAGTAACATGATATACTAGCCACTCTTCTTCCCCCCCCCCCCCCCGACTTGTAGAAATGGGAAGAGCATAGAAGAATGGCGTCGTATCTGAAAATACCACATCAGTTGACATCAAACATTGCCAAGTTCAGTAGAATAACACTGATACCCCTTTTGAAGGCGAGAATAGCCAAGGAAAACACACTTCGATGCCTTGGGATCTAACTTAGTAACAGATGGTCGAATATCTCGAACATAACATGTGCTTCCAAATACCTTAGGTTCCACTGGAAATAATGCCTTGTTTGGAAAAAGAACACTATAAGGTAAATTACCACCAAGTACAGCAGACGACATGCGATTAATCAGAAAGCAAGCCGTAGAGACCGCATTATCCAAAAACTGCTTAG